TCATGGATGACCTCGACTGTTATAAATATACATTACAGTACCAGATTAAGTCCCATTGATTGACCTAACTAACATAAATGTACTAGCAATGGTAAGCATTAAATATTTAAATAAACATATCCACCCTTTTTGTGTGTAAATTTGTAAAATATTAAGAATTACTGAGTTGTACATCTTAAAAAGATGGATTTCATGACATGTAAATTATATATTTTAAATGTTGGTATAAAAAATAAGGGCATCTGATGGATACTATCATAACCAAATGACCAGACTCAGTGTTGCTAATAAGGAGGAACACTGACCTGTTGGGCTTCCCGGTGGGATGAAATGAGAACTGTGCCACAGCCCATGTGAAGTTTTTTTGGTCAGAAATAAAACATTATGCAGTCTTAAGGGGATAATCAGAATATTTCTGACAACTAGCCTTGACTCTTAAAAATAATGTCAATGCCATGAAGGACCACACAAGACTGGGAGTTTGTCCTGGTTTAAAGGAAAGTAAATTCAATCAGTGATCTCAGTTTGGACTTTGACATTACTGGGACTCTTCAGTATGGACTGTAAACTAGATAATATTCTTGTACTGATGTTAAATTTGATGGTAGTTATGATACAGTTATGATGATATAGAATAATGTTCTTGTTCTTAGGGTATACAGGCTGAATATTTAAGGGTAAATTTGTGTACACACACATTTTAAGAAAATAATTTTTTTAAGAGATTTTATTCATTTGAGAGAGAAAGAGAGAGAGGGAGGGAGGGAGCGCACAACCAAGGGGGAGAGGGAGAAGCAGACTTCCCTCTGAGCTGGGAGCCCGACGTGTGGGGCTCGATCCCAGGACCTGGAGATCATGACCTGAGCTGAAGGCAGACACTTAACCATCTGAGTCACCCAGGCACCCAAGAAAATAAATTTTTAATAGGAGAGAAATGAATGTGGCAAAATAGTAATTGCTGAACTGCGTGAAGGGTACATATATGTTTATTTTACTAGTCTTTCAGTTCTTCTGTGAATTTGGAAAAATGTGAAGTACAATGTTGAGGTAGAGGGGAAAAAAAACCATTAATGAGGAATTTCAGGTGAACCTTAAAATGACAAAGCATAAAAATAAATTGTGCACTCCATATTTGACTTTCTATACATTATGGTATTTACTGATTATCATACTAAAATGTTCATAGTTTGTGCATGACGGTCATATCTAAAGCGGTGGGAGATAGAGAGCAGCCAGAGTTTTCCTTAGCCTCTCATTTTGCATTGTCCCCTAGGGTACAGCAGTACCTTTTGTTTCCATACACAACTGCAAACTTTCCACCTCTGTAAGAATTTTCATGTGTCCAACAAACTTTCCACCTCTGTAAGAATTTTCATGTGTCGATTTTATAAGTGTTGGTTATTGTTTACTAGGAAAACATCTGAAATAAAATATTTCTCCATTAGAATCTAGGAGAATATTTATAGCTTCCAAAAAAAGGCTTTTATTTAAACCAGCTTCTAATAGGAACTTTTATAATTTAACATTATTCGAACAGCTGTAAGTATTAAAATGCATGCTGTTTAATGAGATAATTGATAAAAAATGTTTGTAAGTGCTTACATCCATCATCATATATATGACTCTATCCCAACTTGGTAACTTTGAGCATATGCGCAGCAAGACAGATCTGGAAGCTAACCATTCTCATGCAGTGGCCAAGAGCATAGCTTTGCTTCAGGTATATTGAACTTGAACTTGGGCTCTCTATTTCCTAATTGTGTGACTTTAAACAATTGTTGACTTTTTCTGGACCTTGCTCTTGTAACTAAAGTCTGAGAGAGTTAATAATATATATCCTCAAAGACTGTTGAGGAGATTTATGTAAATGAAATAATGCATTTTAGATGCCCAGAACAATAGCTGCCACAAATAGTTCAAGCCCATTTCTATCAGCACCACCATCCGCATCATATCAACTCTGTTGCCAGGAATGTCCCTCCTGGTTTTTGCCCATCGGAACTCTTCTAAATCACTTGTGCTTGAAGATTGCTATTTAAGTCTCCAAATGGAACTGAAACCCATAATGTCAGAGTCACTTCACTGTTACTGTACAGTGTTATAGTCATTTTACTGTTACTGTAATTTTGAGTATTTTTAGAGTAAATTCTCTACCACTAATGGTTCCTGGCTATATGGATTGGTATAGAGAATCCATAAATAATACCAGTATTCTCTGATAAGGTGCCCTATTTTCCCAGAAATATTTTTGTTAAATGTAGCGTATTAATATTATTGGTTGCAAGTCCCTTTTCTGTTTTAATGTATTTTTAATAATAATGATATTAGTGTATAAAGTGCCCATATTCCCATGCTGTGCAAGTTGTATAATTTCTATATCATGTGCTCCATAGAAGAATGTAGTCAAATGAATTTTGTATATGTTGGTCATTCTTTACTCTGAGGAGTATCTGAAATCAGTGTTATCATCTGCAACAAACTAGTTTTATAAGAGGAAAAATTACAATATTCCCATTTCATTCTCCAAATGAATTTTAGTTCAACCTTATTTTCTTTAGTTCTGTATTTTCTTTAGTTCTGATACTTTTAAGCAGTATCATTCATTTGGTTCATTTAGTTGTTGTCTTGGGTAGGGGTTGTCCACAAGCTGACTTTTAGAAGAAGATTCATGGATATGTGGTTTATTAAGGAAGACTGCCAGGAAAAAACAAGGTAGGGGAAGCAGAACACGGAATCAGTCATCCTAAATAAAATGAAATTTGAGTCAGAGTCCCAACCTCAGCTTGATCCCATGGGATCCTCTGGAGATGAAGTTACACCACAGAGTTTGTGTCCTATTTGAAGCAAAGAACCTGTTCTTTTAAACTCCTGCCCTGCACAGGCATTGGCTATGGCATTACCCAGGGGACCCTAAACTCCCAAGGCAATTGAAGCTTTCAGCAGCTCTAGCAATCCAACACTGGTTCTTGAAGGTTACACTTACCCCACTATGCCCACCCAGAGGGTGGGAGCCCAGCACAAAGAAATTACATCCTAGGAGATAAGGACATAAGGGCAGGAGCAGCCACACCATTTGCTGGAGAAGTCTTTTTTCCTTTCTGTTTTTTCTCTTTCTGTAATCACTGTTAAAGCAGAAAGCATTTTTGGTTCTAAGATAACAATGATGATGGTATCTATGGATAAACTATGTTATTTAATCTGAAAAATATTAGTTGGGCAGTTAATGGAATTTTGATTGATCACTACATGTAGCATAAATACATAGTATATAGAAGTAATGATTCATGCTATCAAGGAATTTTAAATTTCACCTTAAGAAGGGCATCCTATAGAAAAAAACAATTATAATATAGAACTACAATTTAATCCTGACAAGGGCAATCTGTGTCATCCAAACATGTGTTTAGGATGATGGAATAGAATGATCAGGGTTGGTCACATAAGACAATGTTGAATATATATAGTTTGCATAATATTTTAATGCATGTCAGTAGGTAAAGAGAAAAGCATAATGCATTCCTTATGAGAAAATATGCAGAACTGAGGTGAAAATCAGTTCATTTACATATAACATGTTTATTTTAATGTTCCTGACAGCTCATTATATTTCAGCTACAAAGTTTTTCTTAGTTTTATCCTATTCTATATTTTATTTGTATCAACTTGGATTATAACACAGAATTTGTCATTTCACCTTTTCAGTGACCGTAAACTACATAGAAGGACTGATATGATAGATTATTATTAATTATCTTGATCATTACTATAATGCAGAAATTAAGCCAATAATCCAATATTACAGTGGTATAGATATAAAATATAGTACTTCTGGGGGCGCCTGGGTGGCTCAGATGGTTGAGCGTTTGCCTTCGGCTCGGGTCGTGGTCCCAGGGTCCTGGGATCGAGTGCCGCATCAGGCTCCCTGCTCAGCGGGGAGCCTGCTTCTCCCTCTGCCTCTCTCTCTGTCTCTGATGAATAAATAAAATCTTTAAAAATAAATAAAAAAATAAAAAATACAGTACTTGTGTTAAAAGATCAGTTGGGGACGCCTGATTGGCTCCATCGGTAGAATGTGTGACTTTTAATCTCAAGGTTGTGAGTTCCAGCCCCCTGTTGGGTAAGAACCTACTTTAAAGAAAGTTGGGCAAGGACAGAGTTGTCACATAAATTGGACAGGCCCAATATAATCTTAGAGTATTTTGTGGCTCTTATTAATAAGAATGTTCACAATGCTTTTATAAAATAGTTTAATAGTGTGTAGGTTGTGGAAGGGATTAATACTCTAGTGGTTGAATAACTTTTATAGCATTGTTTTCAGTTCTCAGATACATTTAAAGGACAAACACAAAATAAAAGATCATCTGAAGAAGGCAGATGGTGTGTGAAATTTCTGGAGACCTTGTAGTTGAAAGAAACCTTGAATGTTCTAAATGTTTTCAGTTAAAAAAGAGAAAACCTAGAGAAGATACAATGACTGTTTTTAAGTATTTGAAGGACTGTAACAGGGCTCAGATCATAGATTTTGTTCCCTGTTGCCCTGAAACAGAATGTCTGAAGTTAGAGCTCTCCAAATATGAAATGGGTTGTCTCTGAGGCATGAGTGTCACTCTGGTATTGTCTCCCTCGTAGTGTCAGCTGAGGCTAGATACTGTTCGTCAGGGATTCTACAAAAGAAGAAGGTGAGTAAATTCACTCTGAGGCTCCTTCAGTTCTAAAACTTCCTGAATCTGTTTGTGAGCCTGTATAATTACAAACAGTGTTCTAGAGCACACTTGACAGTGACATTAACCATCTCTGTTAAAAGCTTTAGAAGTAAATAGTCTTAAACCATTATAGTAGTTACAGTAGATGGTTATGAAAAACAAAGCAGGTGGAAAGAAAAATGATGAATAATTCATGTCTTGATCATTTAAGCCATCTTGGGTACTTAAAAAATATTTCATTGTATTTACTGCATCTGACAATTTTATTTTATTGAAATGCAATGTTTTCACTTTTAGGTTTTTGCTTCCAGTTACTGCAACAGCAGAAAACTGTCTTCTTACCATTTACCCATATATGGCAACTCATCTTGATAAGCAAACAATTGTTTTAAAGGATGGTAAGTTAGATATGACTGTTGTCTCCTATTCTCACCGTGTATGTTCTTGTTATCCAAGGTCGACACCTGGAAATAATGTGACTTTAAAATTAACAGATGTGGTGCGCCTGGGTGGCTCAGTCAGTTAAGTGTCTGCCTTCTGCTCAGGTCATGATCCAGGGTCCTGGGATCGAGCCCTGTGTTGGGCTTCCTGCTTCTCCCTCTCCCTCTACAGCTCCCCCTGCTTGTGCTTGCGCGCGCGCTCTCTCTGTCAAATAAATAAAATCTTAAAAAAAAAAATTAACAAATATTTGTTAAACTCTCGCCATTTCTAGGATCTGTATTTAGCCTTGAGAGCAGAATATGGCCGTGTCTCTAATTGCAAAAGCTGAAAATCTAGTGTAAGACACAAACAAATAAATACAAAGAAGATTGAAGTAAGAGCCAATTGCAGTGTTGGAAATGTGGGTGTGGTGCAAAGGCTAATGCTGACTTTTGGGGTCTGGGATAACTTTATAGAAGAGATGACATCTGTGTAGAGTTTGACAAATGATCTTGAACAGCATAATCTGGGCAAAGGGCCATGTAGCAAAAGCATGGGGGTCTGATGGGCTGCACCCTTTATTCTATAATAGTGGGAACCTTCTGTGATTTCTGAGTATCAGTGATTTATAAAGGGAATAATTGTTGGGATGAGAGTTGAATTAAAATGGGAAAGACAGCGGTCAGTAGGCCGGCTAGGAGTTGCTGCAGGGGAAATGGTGAGAGACTGAGAACAACAGAAGAGAAGCTACTGAGCTGAGAAATTTGAAATGCAAGACACAGAGGTGAATGATTGATGGAGTAAATCTCAGAGGAGGAGAAAGGATAAGGAGTGGGAAAACATTCCATCTGTGTAGATTGTCAAGGCCTTAAGTTTCAGGGTTGAATTGGAGATCTTTTCCGTGTTTGTAACCAGTTTTCTCCTATTCTCTACTTGCTTCTTCAAGTGTTTGCCACTCCTGTGAAATCTCTTCAGTCCTGTTCTGCCTCAGTCTCAGGGCATGACCTTTTCTGTAACTTTTCAGAAGAAATAGAGACCATCAGGCAGGAATACTCTGAACTTCCAAATACCAAGCATGCATTGGAACCCATCATCTCTCCTGTCACAAAGCTGGGAGAGGCAAGACTCTCTCCTGATTTAGGCCATTCCTCCATCTGAATCCCTTCATCCAGACACCTTGCTTAATTAGCTAACCTTGCTTACTCTTGCTCTTCAAATCATGCCTCCCTCTTAGCTTCTTTGGGGGCCTGTGCAGGATGACAACAGGGAAGAAAGAGGAGACTATATCCTCTCAGTGGATAGGCTTGTTCCCAAAGAGAAAAAAGGTGAATCCAGGCCTTGTGTTCCTGATTTAATCTTGGCAAATTTACCAATCAGATAAGCCACTTGATTTCCCAGACATGGGGAGAAAAATAGCAAAGGAAACTAAATAATTAGAGTACCATAGCTTCCTTTAACAGGAAGGACATGTCAGGGGTGAGGCAGAACATTCTGCCATTATATTGCTGTTACCCCGCAACTGAGCAGCATCTTACACTGTTGATCACCTCACCCCTCATCCCCAACCTCTCATCAGACTCCCTCTGGACTTCCACATACTGTACTTCCCTGGGGTCCTTCTCACCTCTCTGACTGTTCCTTCTGAGCACATATATATTACAAATTTTATACACATTCTCAAAAATTAAAAGATTTTCTGACCGAACTTGATGTTATATTTTTGTATTCTTCTAAGATACTTGGGAAGGGGGCAGATTTCAGATAATACAACACAACAGAAAGAGCAGTGGATGAGTATCACAGAACCTGGGTGGAAATTCTATTTTGTGTTCTAATCTCACCATTTTGCCATATGCTTTTACCGTTAATTCTCAGATCCTCAAACACCTGTTATTTAACAAAATGTGCATGGTAGGAGAATAATAGGATGCTAACAATATCTATTTCAAAAGGCTTTTGTGAGGACTCATGGAGGAAATACCTGGAAATTATTATCATTACTATTATCATCATTTTATTATTATTGCTATCATAACTGCTATTATTATTATTACTTTAACACTTTTATATTTTTCACAATATCCTCCAAAAAAGTAATGAGGAGTTACTGTATAAAATATTGCTATTTCTTTAAAAGCTAAAATATGAATAGAATCTTAGTGCTTGTATGATAATTGAGTATGAAATCTGCAGATTAAAAATAATGCATCCATTTCAGTAAATATTACCATAGAAAGACATGATTTTTAAATATTCTAAAGTATCTTTAGAAATATGTACAGTAAAATTTATAATATATATTTAATGCTTCCCAGGCACAGGGTACTCTGCTAAGTGCCTTATATTTGTTATTTCATTTAGTGCCCCCAACAACTGAGTGCGATATTCTTATTAATTTCACTTTACAGATTAACAAACTGAGTCATAAAGAGTTTGAGCAGCTTACCCCAGGGAATTCTAACCAAATTTGTAATACCTCAGAGCGTACACACTTAGCTACTGTGCTCTAGAGTATGATATGTTCAGTAAAGGTGAAATCTTAAAACACATTAAGTATTTCAAAAAGTAAAGCAGTATGATTTACTTGTTTGAGCTAATATGCTGAATATAAGCTAATGTATGAATCATTGCCTTTAGTTGAAGAGTACAGATGTGGGTTTGCACCCCACTAGGAACTTTTTATTATTTGATGGTAAATTGAAAAGATATTGCCTAGTGCATCCACAATGAATCATTATATCATTGAATTTTCTAAGGCTCATTTTTATGAAGTCTGTAGTGGTGTAGCACTGCAGAGATAAGCACATTCTCTGGTAAATTCTGATTGGCTTTGTATTGAAAAAATGGAAGGAACTTAGTATATGCCAGCTTACTTATCTGTGTTATTGCCTGTAAAGTAACCCTTACAACAGATTCATGAGCTCAGAACCTTTGGTGTCATTTCATGGATAAAAACCTGTTTCAGAGAACTTATATAACATCCCCGTAGTTGAATAGCTCAGGAGTTGTAGTGCCAAGATTTCAAATCAGAAATTTCTAACTGCAAAGGCTATGCTTTTCTGACAGAATTACATTATGCATATATGTATGTGCATATACATATACATATGTGTGAATAGATAGAAAATAGATGATAGATAGATGATAGATAGACAAATAGATAGATAATCTGGCCTTAGTTCACATATACTGCCTTTTCTTTCTTTCTTTCTTCTTCTTTTATTATTATTATTTTTTTATTATGTTCAGTTAGCCACTGTATAGTACATCATTAGTTTTTGATGTAGTGTTCAGTGATTCATTAGTTGCATATAACACCCAGTGGTCATCACAACATGTGCCCTCCTCAATACCCATCACCCAGTTACCCCATCTCCCCACTCCCCTCTCCTCTGAAACCCTCAGTTTCTTTCCAGGAGTCCATAGTCTCTTATGGCTCGTCTCCCTCTGTGATTTCTCCCTCTTCAGTTTTCCCTCCCTTCCCCTAGGTCCTCCGTGCTATTGCTTTTGTTCCACATATGAGTGAAGCCATAGATAATTGTCTTTCTCTGCTTGACTTATTTCACTTGGCATAATCCCCTCCAGTCCCATCCATGTTGATGCAAGTGGTGGGTATTCATCCTTTCTGATGACTGAGTAATATCTCATTCACACATACTGCCTTTTCTTAACATTGCCTTTGGTTGGCCTCAGATTACCATGGTGGCAAATTCTAGTGTATATACAGACAACTCTAACTGGAATAGAGATTGAAAGCCATGCAAAATGGTGTCAACTCATAACCAAGCAGTGATTTCATTTCAGAAAATTAACTAGGAAGAAATTACTTTTGTTAGTGATGCTCTTCTTATATTCAATTTTGAGCACCATATAGAATCCAAAAATTTTGGTGTAGAAACATTTAAAATGGTTTAGATATCTTTGTTTATCCTAAAGTTGAGCATTGTTCATTGTCCAAAAACTTTGATATGCCATAATAATGGCCTTGTTGAATAAAATTAATTCAGTTCAGAAAACCATATCAGCTTTTACAGTCTTTTCCTTGACATCTTATTTTAAGTATGGACATTTATACTTAAAAAAATTTTTTTACTCTCTCTCTCTCTCTATATATATATATACATATTTATTATATATAATATAGAAAATTATGAAATTCAGATTCAGTAATTTGAGAGTGAGCTCACAAATGCTTGTTGACTTACTGTGTTCCAATGTATCATTTGTAGATAAGGATGACAGTTCTTTGAAGAATAGAGACAGTGTTTTGCTTCCCTACCAAGAAGCTGGTTTATCCTCTCCTGCTCCTACTAAATTTAATGATGCTGAGCCTGCAGAGAGAAGATTATTTGTTGGTATGTGGCAAATATATATTGTCCCGAACAAACCCACTTCTTAACATGATCTGTTTAATATTATTGAATTGAAAACTTGGGCTTCAGGGAAGAAGAAATCCATGAAGTAAAACATGAATTTTTAATTAGTTTTAAGTGGGTCATCTGCTTTGGGAGCTCTCTCCAATGATGTGGAGCAGAGATTCTCCAATGTTTTTTGTTCACAGTATACTTAGTATCAGTATACACAGTATACTTAGTATCTTACTTTTCCCCTAGGTCAAAAGATGTGCCAAGCAATTCCCTTTATTAAATGTTTTGGTTGAAAAACCTAAGACTACTAATTCATATGATATCCAACAAATGCAGTAGTGATATTTAACTAAAATGTTAAATATTCTGTAGAGCCCCTCTAAATTTGCCGTGACATCCCAGCTACTCTCTCTGCAGTCTGAGAACTGCCAAACTATGGGTTTGTCTGCCAATTATTTAGCTGGACCCAGTATTACCTATCTTAGAAAGAGATGAGCACAGATAAATAGATAAAGATATGAATTTGGTATTATCATTTGTAATTAACTATTCAAATATTCCTTTCTCTGGATATGGGTAATATTGAAAATTTTCCTGTTTATTGAATGGACCAAACTAAATTAAGTATTGTGAGGTTTTTAAATGACTGTGTGCTTGTGCCCTTACATAGATATTTGTGAAAAAAAATATAAAAGCATTTTGTATCCTTGAAAATTTCTCTACCTTGAAACGTTTTGTTTTATTAAAGTGCTTCACTTGGATAAAAAGTCATTTTGAATATGAAACCAATATTTTGTTTCTGTAAGTTTTCCATCTAAGACTTAATTCTGTCTATTAAGTAGAATTGAAGAATGATCAAAATATTTTACATGTGTAATTGAAAATGAAACATTCCACTTTGGGGCATGTTTACACATACCATTATGGCAAGAAGAAAATTTAATGGTTTTCTTTATTGAAATTCTACCATTTTTAAAGTATTTCTGTTATGTATTTGAAAATAAATCTATTTTCTTGTTTTCAAGATACAGTAAATTGACTCAGAATTTCTTTGAGAACCTAGCATAATTTGTAAAATGAGCTTTATTTGTCTGCATACGAATAGCAATAGCTGACAGGATTATTTTACTCTATGGTGATGTAACCTTTTTTTACAAACAAATGTGAATTTTAGGAATTGAAATAATACATGAAAGGCTGAACTCAGGCAAAAGTAAAACATCAAAGAAAGACAATGATAGATCTATGGAAAAGGAGGAGAAAAATGAGCATTGGTTTTCTCCTGAAGAAGGAACAAAGGCGTATGTCTTCTTTGAGAAGGTTGTAAATGCTGCTCAGACCTGGTTCAGTCTCTTCGGCTGGCCTGAAGGACCCCATTCTCTTTCTATTCCAGAAACAATTAGAAGGTAACAGCTATGTGTTTCTCTAAAACTTGCTTTGTATCATATAATAAAATATAGTCTACTCATTGGGGTGGTTTTATGTGAAACACAATGTTAAATGATTTATTCTACGCTGGTAAATTAGGAGGAGGCTACTTTAAGAAAAGCAAAAGGACGCAAATATAAATTCTTTGGTATAGGTATACTTTTTTTAAAAAATAAAGATTTGTTTATTTATTAGAGAGGGAGTGCGTGTACCTGTGTGCACGCGGGGGGAAGGGCGGAGGGAGAGGATCTCGAACAGACTGGGCTGAGCGCAGAGCCCCAGATGGGTCGCCACACGGGGCATGACCCGAGGACCCTGAGATCATGACCTGAGCCGAAACCAAGAGCTTAACTGACTGAACCACAGAGGCTCCCCTGCTATAGGTATATATTTTTTATTTCTTCTAAACATTGCATGATTTGAGGTCAGTATTTAAAATCTCTGAACCTCACTTTCCTCATCTGTCAAATGACAACGGGTAAACTATGGGTAAGAAAAGCCGTTTTAAATCTGAAAACTTTGGAAACTCCATGGGTACATATAAAGGAACTATCAGCTCTCGATCTGGAGTGTGGTCAGGTAGACAGTACATTTCCTTCCCTCTTTCATGGACTTTTTAGTACTCAGCATATCTAAAGTAGGTAAACTGCATTGGTTTATATCAAGTCACTTAATTCTGTTATTAATTTAAATTGGAATTTAGCACCTCCCTTGGTTCACGTTGCTGCTGTAGTGGTTCTCACAGTTCTACCTCCTTTCTCAGAGCTTGGGGTGATTTGCTGGCACCATAGGGGTGAGGACTTCATCTCTGTAGCTAGAAGAGCTATAGTAGCATTTTTGCGTCTATATTCAGGAGGGAGTTAGGTTATGCTAAATCTATAGTTTTCCTTTAAGTTATCTTTTTCAGTTTTTTAGATTAATGGGACAATATCAGCTTCATAGAATGATTAGCTAATATTTCATCTTTACCTATGCTGGGGGAAAATTAATACAGCAGGTACACTGAAAATTTACAGGCTTGATCATAAAATCATCTGACTCCAGGGAATATTTTTAGAGAAATTATTCTGTTAATAACTTTTTAGTTTTCTGCCTTGCTGTTTGTTCTACTGAAAATTGTGTCTATTTTGAGTAAATTTTAATGATTTATTTTCATTTTAAGGAAGATCATTGATCAGACATTTAAAATTCATTATCTGACAGTAGTGACTACTAGTATTATTGTTTATATGTTCATAGTCTCTTTCTCATTTATAATTTTTATCTAATTTTTATTATACATATTATACTTTTATGTCTCCTGTGATGAATAAATTTTTGAATTAATTTATCCATTTCTATGTTTTCTAAATCATTTAATGCTGATTTTTTCTTTAAAATTCATTTCTTTAAACTTGACTTGTATGCTTAATTATTTTCAGGTCTATACATTTATGTCTTCATTTCATGTTGGATGCATCCCAGAATTTTTGCTATTAGGCATTCTCATTTTTGTTGTTTTTTATAGAGCATGTGATCTTAATTTTTATTTTCTGTATATTTTTACTATAACAGTTGCTAATTTGTTGTATAATATGTTATTGAATTTATGCATCTTTATATACTTGCACATTCTCATTAACTTGGGGGTATTTAATTATGTTATTTTGTTCTATATTTTCCTAATGTAAACAATGCCAAGATTCAATATATCTGTTTGTAAATAGTAGCAGATATTTCTGGATGTTACATAGGAAGGATTTCAGAGTGTTATCACTGGATCAAATAATATAAGCTTTTAAAAATCTGCTTTATTTTTGGGTGATTTTCTAGTAAGTTTTCTATTTTATATCCCTACTAATGAGTTACATTGCTGGTCTGGTTTTTAACTGACAGAGTTGAATACCTTGCTATTTTGATAGGTGGGTACTCATTCATGTCATTGGGTACTGCTTGGGGAAACATAGTTCTAGAGGAATACGGGGACCTCTCTAACCCTAGGAAGAAAGCTGCCCCAAACCAAATATCTTAAATAAATAAAAACTTTGTCCAAGTAACAGTGTTATTCACTGCTAATTCATTATTTGAAATCTTTGAATCATGGACTCTCAGGCTAAGAGGGTATTTTCAAGGTAATATAATGTTGCCAGTCTTTGAACCCCCACGCTCAGTGTTTCCTACATTACCCCATTATCTGGACTCACTCAGTTTTTTTATGAGAAGTCTGATTTCATATTTTGTGAGTACCATGTTCATTCTTTCAGAATTATTTTATGGTTCCCATTTCCTTGCTAATCTGCAATTTATGAAATAAAATCTGACTGTGGGAATATTTTATATCATTGAATCTCCTTGCTATTCATTAGGCCCTTTCACTTAGAAAACTCATCTTTTGACTATTCTCCCCTCCCTCCTCTTTCCTGCCCTCTCTTGTTCTCTATTCTCTCTCTCTTAATCTCCTTTTAGAATGATGGTGCATCTGCATGCCTGATCCTTTATACCACTTTCAGTTTTGTCCTATGATTTTTATCTTTTTCTGTCTTTGCTTTCTTATGTTTGTAAACCTTCTTTTTTTAAAAATATTTTATTTATTTATTTATTAGAGAGAGAGAGCGTGCATGTGAACACAAGCAGGGAGAGGGGCAGAGAGAGAGGGAGAGAAAGAATCTCAAGCAGACTCCCTGCTGAGCTTGGAGCCCGACGTGGGGCTCAAACCCACGACCCTGAGATCATGACCTGAGCCCAAACTGAGAGTTGGATGCTTAACCGACTGAGCCTCCCAGGTGTACCTTATGTTTGTAGATCTTCTTCATTTGCTCTTCCAGTCCTGTATAAAATTTTTAAATTGGTGTTTATAGTTTGTTTTTCAGGAACTCTTGTGTTATCCATCCTTCCTTCCTTTCCTTCCTTCCTTCCTTCCTTCCTTCCATCCATCCATCCATCCATCCATCCATCCATTTCTTTCATAATAGCATCCTGTTTTTGTGTTTTGGATGCCTGCCTTCTCAAATATCTCTTCCAAATATAGTACTTGAATTAATCATCATGGTTACTGTACTGAAGGTCACTTCCTTCCTCTGTATCTGCCAGCTGTAATCTTGGTGACTCTCTTATGTTCCTTTCGGAAAAATGGTGTCCTTTTCCCCTGTAGCCTACTGCTATGCAGTCCATCATTTTAATTTATTCGTCAGTACAATTCCATCCATTCTTTGTTTTATAGATTTTCTTCAGAGTTGTTGGTATACTAATTGCTCTTTTCCCAACTTTAGTGTTGTTACAGGTCTCTAGTCTTTCTGACATTTCAGGAATATTTTGAGAGGGAGAGAAGATAAGCACAGATGTTCATTTTATCATCTTGAATAGAAAGTTGATCTTCCTTCTCATAGTTTTCCACAGTTTTACTCTTCCATTTATTCCACCTTAATGACCTATCATTTTTGTTATTGCTTTCACTATTGTGGTCTAGTAATCCATGCCCTACTGAACTTGCTTGGCAATATGTCTCTTACCTTGTTCCTTTAAAAATAATTTTGTGATGGTATTTTATTAATGATAATGGTTCATAAGTATTGGACTCTTACTATGAACAAGGCATAATTATATGTGCTTTGTGGGTATTAATTCACTTATTCTTTATAATGACCCTGTGAGGTAGGTACTATTATTATCCCCACTTTACTGATGAGAAACTGAGGCAGAGAGAATTAGTAACTTTTCCAAGGTCATTCAGCTGATAAATAGTAGAGCCAGGATTTGAACCCAAGCATTCTACCCCAGAGCTAGTACTTTTAAGCATTATGCCACTTGCCAATTATTACAGAATCAGATTAAGATTTAGGAAACTTTAGGGACCCCTGGGTGGCTCAGTTGTTAAGCGTCTGCTTTCAGCTCAGGTCATGATCCCAGGGTCCTGGGATCGAGCCCCACATCAGGCTCCCTGCTCTGCGGGAAGCCTGCTTCTCCCTCTCCCACTCCCCCTGCTTGTGTTCCCTCTCTTGCTGTGTCTCTCTCTGTCAAATAAATAAAATCTTTAAAAAAAAAAAAAGATTGGGACGCCTGGGTGGCTCAGTCGTTAAGCATCTGCCTTCAGCTCAGGTCATGATCCCAGGGTCCTGGGATCGAGCCCCGCATCAGGCTCCCTGCTCGGCGGGAAGTCTGCTTCTCCCTCTCCCACTCCCCCTGCTTGTGTTCCTTCTCTCGCTGTGTCTCTCTCTGTCAAATAAATAAATAAAATCTTTAAAAAAAAAAAGATTTAGGAAACTTTAATACTTGAAAGACATGAGCTCCACCATTTGGCATTTTTGTCTTTGGCTTTAGAGTGGGCACTATTAAGTACCTATGGTTGGTATATCAGTTCAAGAAGATTAAGAATACAATAGTCTAGAACTGAGGAGAGTTATGTAATCCTAATGTTTATAGGCTAAAGTCTAGGATTTCAGATCAAGTGAAGCTCAAAGTCCTGGGCAAGCCGTGAATTCTAGTGAAGTCAGCCATATTAACAGGGAAAGTGGAACTGCCTGGCATTATATCAATAACCCCCCACTGGAGAGTCATTCACTACAGGACGGATAGCCTGGAAGACTAGAAATCATTGTGAAGTATGGTGTGGATATCAAAAACTTTTTGTTTTCCTTTTAACATTATTGAACATTTTTGGACATATTTATGCATCACCTTTCTTGAACCTGCAGATACAGGTTGTCAGAAATGCTGCTTTATTGGTGTATTATCTCAGGTAATTTCACTCTTTACAAACAATTTGCAGCAGACAGGCATTATGGCCCATTTCATTTGTTGACTTGAGAGATATTCAGGTGGAATAGCAGAAACCAATTATATGAGGAAATTACCTTTATTGATTAGTAGTCTGTTTTCAATTCTTAGAGGCCCCTAAATATTATTTATTTTTAGCCCTTCCCCAAATCACCAAAAGATGGAAATAGCTATTGAAAAATATAAAAGAACACAATTTATGTTTCAGAAATCATCAGAGGAAATG